GTGTTTTGTTGCAAAAAACACACAAACTACAACCAATATTAACAAAAAAATTAGTACATATAAAAATTCAAACATCAATTGAACATCTCCACAAAGCCAGTACCATATGCATTTGTTCAGGGAACCAGAGCACACTTTACTCTTATATGTATACAGCTTTGCCTTGAAATTTTGGGTTCTTTTCTTACATTATCTCATGGGCTTTTATAGATCAGGATCAAATGTTCCCTACTATAGTGAAAATAAATTCATTGCATGTCTTATCATAGTTTAGTGCACTAGTTTCCATCCTTGGCATAAGTAATCCTTCCTCCAGTTTTTGGCACTAGCATTAACCACCACCATTTTCAGTTATGAACTTTCCTTCTTGTTTTTGATATTTCCCTTTTCACATAAGTTCTCTGAATTTCAGAATGTTATATATAAATATTTTATGGCTCTTATATTGACAAAATGCATTCTAAATTTCACTGCCAATAACACAATGTGCTGAAAATTGGTATTGTGACTTACATAGGCACTTAAGTATTAGATTTTAATTTTACTTATTTATTTTTTCAGAAGGAGCACTAATTACACAAGAATGAAATGGTATCTCATTAGTATTGTTTTCGTCTGAGATGTATTATTATAAATATTTGCTAATCATATTCCTTAAATGTTAATTATTTTAAAGGGAAGATCTAAGTGTTAATACTAATAATGCTATGTGTTTATACTTTAGAAAATAAACCTCTACCATATAATTGCAACTATTTTTCTCAGTTTAATTATTTATTCCTTCTATTTTTGTTTGTTTGTTGTTCTTATAATAGATTAGTTTAAATTTTCTTATCATTAAATCCATTCAGTATTTTACTATATGATTCTCTCCACCCCCTCCCCACCCCTCATATCAATGCTCAGCTAATGATCCCGCTCACTGTCTTACAAATAGGCACCTTTTTCATGGTTTGCTTTAGAAAGGTATCTATTAAAAATTCTGCGCTTCTTTAAAAACTAAATAATATCCTTCCAGAAGCCTTTTCCCTTGGGCCAAAGTATTGGTTTGAGTGGCAAAAAATAAAAAGGAGGAAGAATAAAAGTGAAACGGCCTTACAATCTTTAGTGACAAATAAGTTCATTTCAAATATATGAAAAAATAAATACTCTGGGACATATTTAAATAGGGCATATGTTATGAAGCATTGATTTAAATTATACCTACTCCTCACTTATTTACTATCTTGCTGACATTTCACATTTATGACAATGATTTGAAAAATCTACTCTCCAACGATTTTGCTCATTAATTGTATCCGTATACATCTGGCAGTAACCAATGCTTTAAGTGCTTGGCGGGAGTGGTGCTGGGTGTAACAGTGAAGTTCATGCGTCCGGTTGGCTGGGCCATGACTATCAGTGGTTTGGAGTTATACAATGATGTGCTTCTCCACCATTGTTTGGTCTGATATGCTCAACCTCCATGTTCATAAACAACCTGGTCTTTGGAACCTGTGTTGATAAATGTGGAGTGGGTGTTTTTCTTTCCTGAATTTGCTAACAAGACACATTATAATATGAAAAGAATAATAATTTATAATTTATCAAGGTTCACAGGGTGGGAGGGTAGGAAAAAGAGGGAAAAAAGAGGAGCTGATACGAAGAGCTCAAATAGAAAGTAAATGTTTAGAAAATGATGATGGCAACATATGTACAAATATGCTTGATACAATTAATATATGGATTAAGAGCTGTAAGAGCCCCCAATAAAATGATCTTTTAAAAAAAAGACACATTATAACCATTTGTTACATAATAGTTTTCTATTTTTATGTAGCTTTTTCCATATGAAATATCTTTTTTTCCTATATTTTCTTTTTTACTATTATTTTACTGGGAGCTCTTACAGCTCTTATAACAATCCATATAGGCATTGTGTCAAGCACATTTGTACATATGTTGCCATCATCCTTTTCAAAACATTTCCTTTCTACTTGAGCTCTTGGCATCAGCTCCTTTTTTTCTTCTCTCCTTTGCCTTCCAACCCTCACGAACTCTTGATAAATTAAACATTATTACTATTTTTATATCTTACACCATCTGCTGTCTCCCTTGCCCATGTTTCTGTAGTTCATCACCCTGGGTGGGTGGGTGGGTGGTTATACATCGATCGTTACAATTGATTCCCCTTTACCCCCACCCCCCACCCCCACCTTCCCCTTTCCTTCATGGTATAGCTACTCCTAATATTGTTCCTGAGAGATTTATCTGTCCTGGATTCTGTGTGTTTCCAGCTGTTATCTGTACCAGTGTACATGTTCTGGTCTAGCCAGATTTATAAGGTACAATTGGGATCATGATAGTGGGGGAGAGGAAGCATTAAAGAACTAGAGGAAAGTTGTATGTTTCATTAGTGCTACACTGCACCCTGACTGGCTTGTCTCCTCCCTATGGCACTTCTGTGAGAGGATGACCAATTGTCTACAAATGGTCTTTAGGTCTCCACTCTTCCCCCCTTCTTTCGCATTGATGTGTTTTTCTATACTTTCCTATATCTAGCACAATCTCAAAATCTTTTAATTATTTTTCCCACTGTAATTTCATATACAGAATGGATTTGCAACATTTATGATTTCTTTAAAAATATCTATTATTGGTCGCTTACTTACTAGGGGAGATTTTTATCATTCCTTCACCTTCTGAGAAAATTCATTGATGGATATCAATTAGATTATATCCTTATATTTGCATAATCTGTCTCAACCCACCCATGATACCTTTTATAGCTCTCAATATGTAACACTTTAAAGATATGTCCAATATTACATAATTAAAATGTAAGATAAGATACTAGAAAAAGTAGTATCTATTGGATGAGACACACACATATTCTCAGTTCAAATCTAATATGATCTTAGACAAGATTCATATCCTCTCTGGGCCTTCCCTATTTCCTCTGACAATTTTTCAGGATTTCTGTAAAGAGTAGGGATAAGTCACATAAACCTATTGGAGCATACCATGTATCCAATAAATACTGGATATTATCATGCTTTGTACTATAACATTGTTTAGTCCTTGACATTTTACAAAGCTCTTTCATATAAAAGAGGGTTTCAAAAAGATTGTGGAAATGGAAATAAAATATGATAGAGTTTTTTTCATGAGCTTTTTGGTATCCCTTGTGTATTTTCTCACTTACTATTTGATTGCCATAAAATCCTGTTGCTATCATTATAATTTCAGTACTAATATCATATATGTAAACATCAAGTATTTTTGAATCAAAAGTAAAAGTACATTTCATATCACCATAATTTATGTAAATGTATTTCTAGATCACATATATGACATGTTAAATTTGTCTCTGAATATTAATTTTTCAGCTATATTAATTATAATTGTTCTTTCACTATAGTATGCAATTCATTTTGCTTGTTTATAAAATGCTGTTGATGTAAATATATTTATGTCATATTCAAAAGATTTATTGTGCTTCTACTGAACTCTTAAAAATGTGGCTGATTCTTTTGCTCCCAAGGTTGCCAAAGTATGCTCTACTTTCTGGAACCAGAACAGTCAAAGCAAGTAGATGCCAACTCAGAGGGGTCCTCGGGGACAGACTGGGACTGCTGCAAGGTCTTTCCCAGGCTGTAAATCTTCATGGAATCAGACCTTCAAGACAACTGGTGGGTTTGAACCACCAACCTTTTGCTTAGCAGTTGGGTTCTTTAAGCACTGTACCACCAGGGCTCCTACTTTATTAACTCTTACATTAAATTCACACAGTGCACTCCTTAAATGGAAAATGACGATGACAAAAGCACAGTTATCTACCATGCTGTCGTGACAGATTGGAACCTTCCTGTTTAGAGAATTAAAGAAAACAATGTAATGACTACTGTCAGTTTGCATGGGGCCCTGGTGACATAGGAGAGAAATGATTTGTTCCTGAATGAAAAGTTAGTGGCAGGCAGTCAGCTTCGCCTGGGGAACAAAAGGAGAAGTTTTCCTCTGCCCAACAGGGTCGCGGTGAGTTCGAAGGGACTCACCAGCCATGAGCTTTGGTTTTGCTAATCAGTGTGTTTCAGCGTGTAGACTGTACTCCCCTAAGAACTTTTTCTCATAAGTGTTCAAATACCCTGCCTGACTTGAAGGGTTTATATTATTGTGTGGAAAAAGAAAAGAAATAAAACAAAAAAACACATCAAATAGAAGGCATTGGTCCTTTTTAAAATGTCTTTGTGGGATGAGGTATCATTATCTCTGGGGATGAGAAGAGCCCTGGTAGCATCGTGGTGACGCACTGGGCTGCTGGCCCCGAGGTGAGCAGTTTGAAGCCACCAGTGGTCTTTTACTGTAGAGTCACAGGCTCGGACACCCATGGAGGCAGGTCTACCCTGTCCTATGGGGCTGCCACGAGTCAGAATGGCTGAGGATGAGAGGAGAAAAGGGTGAGGCAGGGCAGCAGTGCGGTCTACACACATTTGCGCACTGGGGAGTTTTTCTGCTTCCTCGTGTCCTCTACTGCATGTGAGACTTAGCTCTTTTCCATCCTAACCTTGAGCTGCAGCTCCTAAGCACATCCTGGCTTTCCTTACTGAATACATTTCAACTGTAGAAGGGTGATTTGATTTGATTTTAATTGAGGCCAGATTTATTCTCAGCCCTGGTTCTGGGCCTCCGTGTTCACCATTGGAAAAGCATCAATGGTACAGCACCATTTCTCATCGACTCAGTTGGCTGACATAATCATATGATCTACTGCAAAAAATAATCCCAATAAAAACAATTGATCACATTGATTAAAAATAATTAAAGGGAATAAAATATACTACATTGATTAAAAAATATCATTGTCTTTCAGGACTTCGTTTTTCAGATCAATTGCAAAGATAGAAAACAAAACAAAACAAGCCTAAATCGAAATGAAGGTTTAAAAAAATATATGACCAAGCTGACAATTAGTCTTGCTGTAGGCTCACACAATCCACTTCAGATACAAGCTCAGTACTCACGGGTGAGATGATTAGAGGTGGATGGATTGACACTGTCCCCACTGTCAGCACTTTCACTGCTGGAAACGTCATCATCTGATTCCCGCACAGAGGAGCAGGGTGAGGAGCCGTCAACTTCTTCAAACTTCCTCTTTAAAATTCCACTCATCGCTGCGGCGCTGTCACATGTACCTGGAGCAGGAACGGGAGCAACGGAGCGGTGAGCTGTTTGACCGTGACTGCACAGCCAGCCAAGGCCTCTGGAGTCATTTTTATGGGGCTTTTTATACATGAGCTGAATGATAGCATTTTCCCTATAAGGACAACTAAGCATACTGTTTCCCCTCCTTATTTTCCAAATGAACATAAAATCACATTAAACACGATCACTTGACTATTTGGTTATCAAGATGGATCAGTTTTTTTTTTTACATAGTTCATTTTTAACTTAGTCCCTCAATTTCCTTTCCATGGGAAATCCAGGTAAACCACATAGGTCTGTGAAATTCTACAAAGAAAAAAATTAATGCTGATGTCCCCCAAAGTTCTAAGGGAATATTGTTTTATTAAAACTCCACTTAGAAGAATCAGGTAAGTATGAAGTTTCAAGATTCAGGAAACAAATCCAGAGACAATGATACCTGTACAATCCATTGAAAAGCTTAGGTAGTTCCCATTTCAATATTGCAATAAGTGATCTGTGTTTCCATGCACCTGGTTGCTGAGTCTGTTGCCATAGACTCAAATGCGTTCTGTGGCTTTTTACCTGGGAGTGAATACTAACGGAGTGGGGGGCAGGCGAGTGGTTTCCTCAGTCTTTGCTCTACAATGTATGAGCTTCCCTTTCTCCTTGGGCTGCCCTTTCTCCACCTTCCCGTTTACCTTGACATACGCACCGTCAGCTAATGAGGATAAACGTTCCTTGCAGTGTAGGAATATATTTAGAAATACTAAGCTATATATAAAGTAGCTTAGATATATGTATAGGCCTTACATGGCGACATTAGGCTAACTAAGTTTATGGTATTACTAAGTTGATTCAATCTCACACTTTATTTATGTTAGCTGGTCTTAACTCTCATTTGGTATCACGAAGCCACCTGTCATTTATCTGCCAGGGTACTGCTCTGGGGAAATCCTGAAATTAGCCCTTCTTTGCTCCACCCTTTTCTTAGCTGGGGTAGCTTTTCAAGTTCCAATTCAGTGGTTTTCAAAGTGTGATAACTGGATCAGCAATATCACCAACAATTAGGAGATTGATGGTGAAAAATGTAAATTTTCAGGTCCTACCTCAGATCAAACGAATCAGACCCAGAGGTGGGGTCTAATACTGTTTTAGGAAGTTCTCCAAGTGACCCTGATGAATATTCATATTTGAGGTCACTTGTCTAATGTTTAGTCTCTCGCTAGCAATTCCTCCCTGGACCTTCACCTTTCCTTAGTGCATGCACATACCAGCTCTAGAGAGTCATACAACAAGGCTTTCATTTATTTGTCAAAAAAATCTCTTCCTTGGCCATCCAGGGTATGATTTCCAGTAACATTAAGTACAGTATTAAATGTACCATGTTTATTTTCAGTAATTATAATTTACTGCATTTGATGCAACACCTGAGGAGTAACTGTGATGTATGTGGTAGAATCCTTCTTGAGTAAGGTTTGCCAAACAAAATGGAGCAAATGGTCAGCTACCATTGCGTCTGTCCCCGACTCGGGGGAACTCAATGCACAGAGCGACAGTCATCCTCTGTCTGGAAGCCCCTGGTCTCCGAGCGCTGCCCAACCCGCTCAGCATCACAGTAATGTGCCAACGTCTCCTGGCAGGTGAGTGGTGGCTCTGTATGAGGGGCTTCGGCCAGGAAACAAACGCAGGTCCCCCACATTCCCCAACACTAAACCCATAGCCTTCCCGTCAATTCTGACCCCTACTGACTCACAGCGCACAGTAGAACTGCTTCCTAGGGGTTTCCTAGGCGGTAAATCTTTCTCGCTGCCATCGACTTGATTCTGACTCACAGCAATCCTGCAGGACAGAGAACTGCACCTGTGGGTTCCCGAAGTTATCATTCTTTATGGGAATAGAAAGTCTCATCCTTCTCCTGAGGAGCGGCTGGTTTCAAACTGCTGACCTTGTTTGTGGTTAGCAACCCAACGAAAAGCCTCACCATTGTGAACATGGTCCTTGAAGCACCACTGCCCTCTAATGCCTATCATTCAGTGGAAGCAATCATATGCGTGACCATCAGATAGATTACAAATCACGGTGGCCATTCACCCATTGCCATCAAAGCAGTTCTGGTGCATAGAACCGCCCCCAGAAGCTTTCCAAAGGCTGTACTCTTACAAAAGCAAGCTGCCACACCTTGGCTGGTGAATTTGAATGGCTACGTGTTTCACCACTGAGTACCCAGTGCTCCTCTCCACCGTGATGGCCTCCATCAACTAGGAACCCCTCCGCATCCGTGTCCCACAGCCTTGCGTCATTGTTCCATGACTTCACACCATGCTGTGACAGCAGAGAAGAGATTGATAGGCATGGGAAGGTGTTGGATGGCCCACCGTTTTGAGAATGCATCTCTAGCCCCATTCTAATTTTACCACTAGTCACATTATCATATTATGTTCTCCATGTTAAAGAGCTTGAAATGTATAAGATGTTCATGCATATTTGAGCAGGATGAGGAGGGAAAAAAATCTTCAGTTCTTAAAATAAAAGTAGGGCAGGATATAAATTTTAAAACGGTTCACTTCAAACAGATGCAATGTAATTCATGAGGGAAAGACGATGAGACATCAAGTAATACAAGATGGAAAGCCATGTTTAGAAAGTACATTTTTATAATAAACTATTGCAATAGGGACAGGCAAACTGACGTCCTTTGTAATCTCTCCTCCTCATTGCCACACATGCCAGCTTCGTTTGGCAAGGCAAGTGTCTTGAGAGTCCGATATAAATGTCAGGGAGTCTGGGGGAAAACGGCCACATTTGAATTGTTGTGGGAGAAGAATTTTGAAAGTACTACAGACTTCCAGAACAGACAGAACACAATGACAGCGCATCGACACGTTGAGATGCAGGAAGTAGCATCACAGAACAATTTCCAGGGGAACTGTCCAATGGGGAATGAACCTCCTGTTTAGACTTTCACCCCAAACTCAATAAAATATTATTACAGCAAAGGACGAGGATCAGGACCGAGAGGTGGGCTACAGAGAACCCACCATGACACACCATCATGGAGGGTGGTCCTTGACGCTTTTCTCCCCATCTCTCACTTCCTCAAGGAGGAGAGGGGAACATTTAAAAAAAATCATCTTATTGGGGGCTCTTACAACTCTTTTAACATCAATTGTAGCAAGCATATTTGTACATATGTTGCCATCAACCCTTGGTATAAGCTCTTCTGTTTTCCCCCTCCCCCCCCACCCTTCTACCCTCGTGAATCCTTGATCGATTGTGTATTGTTCTCATTATTCATATCTTACACTGTCTGTTGTCTCCCTTCACCCAAATTTCTGTTATTTGTCCCTTTCGGGGAGGGGGACTATATATCCAACCTTGCAATGGGTTCCCCCCTTCTCTCTCTTTCCTCTCCCTAACCTACCCTCTACCCTCATGATATCGCTACTCCCACTCCTATTCCTGAGGCGTTTATCTGTCCCTGAATTCCATGTGTTGAGAGCTCTTTATCTGTCCAATGTGTGTTCTCCTATCCGGTCTAGCCAGATTTGTAAGGTAGAACTGGGTCATGGTAGTGGGGGGAGGGGGGAGGCAGCATTCAGGAACTCCCTTCCTTATAACCCTTCTGTGGGGCGATATCCAATTGTCTACAGATGGGCTTTGGGTCTCCACTCCAACCCCCCTCATTCACATCAATGTAGTTGTTTGTTTTGGATCTTTTGATACTTGATACCTGATCCCATGGACACCTCATGACCCCACAGGCTGGTGTACTTCTTCCATGTGAGCTTATTTGCTTTCCTATTGGATGGCTGTTTCTTTAACTTGAAGCCTTTACGACCCCAGGCACTATCTTTTCATAGCCAGACACCATAGAGATGGGAACACTTTTGTTGGAAGACAGATTGAAAAGTCTTTTCTGTCCCTTTGGGTATTGTAATTGAGATTGGTTAGACTCGAAGCAATGGAGTTGAAGGCATAATTCAAGTTCTGCCTGGACTGTGGAAACTAAAGGAACTTGAACTAGGAAAGAAATAACTAGCTATTTCGGGTAGGTAACATACAAGGAGAATGTGGTATCAAGTCATGAGTATCAGGAATACTCATTAAGAAGCAGCAACATGTAGATGACGCAATCTTGCTTGTTGGAAGTAAAGAGAGTTGAAGTACTTAGTAACGACGATCAAAGACTACAGCATTCAACATGGATTACACTTCAACAGAAGGAACACAAGAATTCTCATATCACAACCAATGGAAAAAAGATTGAAGTGGTCAGGGTTCTATTTTACTTGGATCCACTATCAGTATCCTCAGAAGTAACCATCAGGAAACCAAACAATGTATTTCCTTAGTCAAGTCTGTTGCAAAAGATCTCTTTGACACAGAGGGGTATGCAAGCCTTAAAGGCAACATGGGCAAATACTAGTATGAGCACAACCTGGAATAGTGGTGATATGTCTGAATGCCAAGATAGACACACAAGCTGAACAGGTGTGGGAGAGATAATGGGAGTCTACCCTCAGATACAACCAGGTTTAACAGAGGATATTTGTATCTATGTATTTACCTTTGCTGTAAATATAATCATGAGTGTCATGAAGCACACTGGGGACAGTCATGAAAACTTCCTGGACATAACCAAGCATCCTGAAGGAATGAGTTGCTGGGCCTCGGGGGGCTCAGCACCATAGACTCAGGGGAGGGCACAGTCAACAGGCAAAATGTAGTTCAAAAAGACAATGTCCTACATCTCACTTGGGTGTCCAGCAACTAGGGACTTACAAACTCATGAGCAGCCATCTAAGGTGCCAATATTTGTTTCTCCCTGTCTGCCCGAAAGAAGACTGAGGAAAATCAAAAGACACACGGAAAGCGATTAGTACAGCAGGCCAGTGGACCACACGAACATCAGTCTCCACAGCCTGAGACCCAAACAACTAGGTGGTG